CTTATTTTTGATATTAACGCATTTAAGTACCTATAAAAGTTAGGTTAAAAAATTATTGTAATTACCCCTCATTACCCCACCCCTATATATGCACCAAAACTAGAACTGAATATGTCCAATTAAAACATAAGGAAAACAATTTACTCGGTTATGTCAATTTAGAAAGAATTCAAATAGATTTGGGGAGTCTCACAAGGATCGGTTTTAGTCCCGATGTTTTTTTTTTATCGTATACATTTATGAAATTAGTAATATATTGCCTGATATAAAACTAACAATGTACGCTGATGACACATCGCTAATAATATCTAATAAAATTGTTATAAATTAAAAGACAAACAGTTAATTGAAACTGCGACACAAAATCACACAAAATCTCACGAAATCGTGCAAAATCACACAAAATCCCTATTATTGCATTGTATTAAATGTATTTAAACTTAAGTTTTTTATGTCCATCGGTAAATTATTATAAATTGTAGCCAAATAAAACATGATGGTTTTGTATTGTGGAATTGTTAGAAATTATTTTGCCAAATATTGATATTATGTATATCGGATCTATATCTAATTTTCTTTGATAAGTATTTATGTATAATTTTAGTTGCAATTTTATGAAAGAGAGTTAAGGAGTGCAACTTCTTTCTCTTAACAATTTTGAGAAAGTGTGTTACTAATTCTTTCATATTTTCTTACACCAAAAATAACTCTCAAAATACTAGTTTTGAAGTTTTTGCAATCTAATTTTATCAACTAAGGTTAAGCAAGGGTCGTAGACGAATCATCTTGATTTGCATGGGGTATCATCGCAAAGATTACTTTTTAGTTTAATACTTAAGGCATTTCTGTTCAAGGGCTGCTTTAGGGAAGGGGCCATAGTCTCCCCCCCTTACAAGTTTGAAATTCTTACAATCCATGAGTCTTTTATTTAAAAAAATATGCTTATTCCTGTTTGGAAAAAGAAATTTAAGACAAACGTAGGCTTTTTGTAATATAAATCAAACATGGTCTGTTAATATTAATTTTGAATCAATAATTACACCCAAGTACTTTTTTTTCGACAGACTTTAAAATATTATTACTCATATTAATCACTAAATCATTAGCGGTAATGTTACCAAAATTGTCGTTTATTATTTATTATAAATAAGTTTTAATACCTATTTTTATAAAATAACAGCATGATATTTTAGATACTTACATAGCAGACATTAATATTAATAACAAATATAATATTTTAATTATTTATACTAGAAATCTAGATTTTTTAATTAGAAGTTTTATACAGGGTGTCTGTAAAAGGTCTTTACAAAAACATACCACATATTCCTTAGACCAAAATAAGTCGATTTAAGTAAAATTACCTGAGTACAAAGTTACTTCGTTTGGGCTCCAGAGGGCCTTGAAGTTACAATTTTTAAATCGTTTTTCCCATATAAATTTAAAACGGCATATGCGCTTTTGCTGAAATTTCGTATATGGGTAGAGTTTTATGTGGCAAAAAAAATGGTATTAAAATTTTGTCCGATAATAATACATAGGCGTCGAACTTGCTTTTTTAAATAATTGCACCTTTAAAAATTCTACGCCAATGGAAGAAAAGGAGTTTAAGTATGAAATTTAGATTGCGCAACTCATTTACTTTAAAGAAGGTACTCTGGATAAGACTCGATTACTCTCATGGTTTTGACGAAATTTGCATTTTAGTAATTTTAGAATATAAACAATAATTATTAAAATACAAACTTTGTCAAAACCATGAGAGTAAATCGAGTGTTATCAACGGTACTTTTTTGTAGTAAATGAGTACCCAATCCAAATTTCATACTCAAACCCCTTTTTTGCCATTGGCGTAGAATTTTTAAAGGTACAATTATTTAAGAAATCAAGTTCTACGCCTATGTATTATTATCGGACAAAATTTTATACGATGAAAAACATAAAAATGCACTTTTTTCATATCTTCTTCAACACCTCTAATCGAGACTTTTAACAAAAATACTCGATTCTTGCCATGTACGATTTTTTGAGGAATATTAATTATTTGCCTGCAATACGTATACAAGAACATTTATTGTTGGTTTCCATAGTTTCATCTAAATAAAAATATTGTCAAGTTTTAACACCTAATCTCTTGTTAACGATTGAAAGTGTTCTATCTGACTCAATAATTAAAAAAACAATTGCGTGGTTTATTAATATGGCTGTACAATATACCAATGCAGAATATACCGATATGTTACTGACATTAGGATTTTGTGAACGAAATGCTCGAGAGAGTGTCAGGGTGTACTCTGAAAGGTTTCCAAATCGTCGTGTACCTAGCCACCCAACTTTTGCTGCTGTTGTGAGACGTCTTCGGGAGACCGGTTCTTTTGCTCCCAACACTGTTGATAATGGAATAGAACGTTTTGTAAGGATTCCTGAAGTTGAAGAAGACATTTTAGAACGTGTTGAAGAAGATCCAGAATTAAGCACCAGACGAATTGGAAGGGAACTAGGAGTAACTAAAGATGTCGTTCATAAAATTGCTATATCCATACCATAAGAAGCCAGTACAAGAATTATTAGTCCATGATCCTCAAATTCGTTTGGGTTTTTGTCGATATGTTAATATGCAAAGAGAAAGAGATCCAAACTTTGTCAAGAAGGTTCTCTTTACCGATGAAGCGGGTTTTACAAGAAGAGGTATAACTAATACCCATAATGAACATGTTTATGCCGTTGAAAATCCGCATGCAATAAAGGTAAACCATTTTCAGCACGAATTAAAAATTAATGTGTGGGCTGGAATAATTGGTAATTTCATTGTTGGTCCTGTCATACTTCCACGAAGATTAACTGGAGAAAATTATTTGGATTTTCTACAAAATACGTTGCCAGAATTGTTAGAAGATTTACCTCTCCAACTTCGGAGAGATATGTGGTTTATGCAAGATGGTGCTCCACCACATTTTTCTTTAAACGTTAGAAACCACTTGAATGAACAATATCCACACAAATGGATAGGCAGAGGTAATGACGCACCTGTAAACTGGCCACCACGTTCCCCAGACCTAACACCGATGGATTACTTTTTATGGGGACATCTGAAATCCACAGTTTACAGGGAACCTGTAGAAAATGAGGAACAACTCTGGCAACGTATTCAAGATACAATAAACAATCTTAGAGGTGATGAAGAAGTTATGGAAAGGATACATTTTAATTTTCTTCGACGTATAAATCTTTGTATGCGTGAAAATGGTGAACATTTTGAACAATTTTTGTAAAAAATCTCTATTTTGATTATGTTGTAAATAAATATTTTTGTGAAACTTATACACTCTAAATAATTAAAACAGAAATTTAGCGAAAACCATGAGAGTAATCGAGTCTTATCAAGAGTACCTTTTTTTAAAGTAAATGAGTTGCGCAATCTAAATTTCATACTCAAACTCCTTTTCTTCCATTGGCGTAGAAATTTTAAAGGTGCAATTATTTAAAAAATCAAGTTCTACGCCTATGTATTATTATCGGACAACATTTTAATACCATTTTTTTTTCCACATAAAACTCTACCAAATTTCAGCAAAATCGCATATGCCGTTTTAAATTTATATGGGAAAAACGATTTAAAAATTGTAACTTCAAGGCCCTCTGGAGCCCAAACGAAGCAACTTTGTTCTAAGGTAATTTTACTTAAATCGACTTATTTTGGTCTAAGGAATATGTGGTATGTTTTTGTAAAGACCTTTTACAGACACCCTGTATAGTTTAATAAAAACATTTCCAATGTAAAATTAGAAAATAAACATTTTAAACTGCCTTCTTATCTTCAATAGCAAGCTCTATATAAGCTATTTAAATAAACTTGAGCAAATTATTTTTGCTATATTATAACTAAAATGAAAATATATAATACTTAGCATTTTATATGATACTCTTAACCGTTTAACAGACCCCCCATTAACCCCCAATTTTTAATCAGATTTTTTTCAGAATCAATAGACTTTATCCCCTTATAGAGCTTGATTTTTCATGAATATTTTAAGTTTATATCGTTATATCATAATGCAGCTTCAAGTTGATATAATTTTTCGTTTTTAAGTTAGCATTTTTTTAAATAAAACAACCCCTCTTAACCCCCCATTTTGATTAAATTTTTTTTTTCAAAATCGATGGGATTCGTTCCTTCATAAAACTTGATTTTTCCTAATAATTTCAAGTTGATATCATTTTCGTTTTTGAGCTACGATTTTTTTTTATATTTCAACCCTCCCCAAACCCCCCATTTTTATTCAGATTTTTTTTTAAATAAATGGGATTCATCCTATAATAGGGCTTGATTGTTCCTAAAAATTTCAAGTTGATATCATTTTTCGTTTTTGAGTTAAAATATTTCAACCCCCATTAACCCCCCATTTTGATTAAATTTTTTTTTCAAAATCAACAAGCTTCGTCCTCTTATATAGCCTGTTTTTTTTTAATATATCAGGTTGATATCAATTTTCGTTTTTAACTCATCGTGCAGACAAAAAACGTGATATCAGACGGACGACCGAACATTTTTATTTAAATTTACAATTTTTAAATTTTGATCAATATTAAAGATTTTGTGCATTAATGAAAATTAAATAGTTTTTAAATATTTGAAATCTCCAAATCTCGGAGGTATTTGAATCTAAAAATATGACCGCAGATAATTATAGAATTTATAGAAGAGTTAAGCTAGATTTTTGAAAAACCGAAGGCACAATACATATTAAACGGGTTTTTAAGTTCTGCATTGGAATTAAAGAAACACTTTATTACTTCAGCTTAATTCATTTGAACTAATATTATAAAGTGTGAATTTAAGATATTATATCAAAAAAATAGTAGCAAATTTTAAATGATTTAACAATCATCTTATCAACAAAAACCTGAAGATGAAACGTTTATCACAATTCCGAAACGTCGATAATATATTTTTTCAAAATTCACTATAATCTACGAAAAAATATAAAAAATATAATTACCATTTCTATGGGGTGCGTGTAATCCAAAACGAAATAAATTTAATCGACAACTCACGACACTGAAACTAAAAACTACAAAACTAGAAAATCAGCCACGAAAGAGATTGTTCGCAGTCACTACCACATCACTTAGTGAGGCCGGACTTGCATCGAGTCATGACCGTAAACCCTTTTCGAAGAGTTAAAGTGGGTATCGGCGCTGAAGAAAGTCTTACGAGAACTTTTCAGAACGGTTTTATATGAGCCCGGTGGGCTAAAAGAAGCACCGGAGGGGACCCGGTGGACACCTTCTTCGGAGAATTTTGTCATTTTCGATAATTGCGTTATTTGGGATGGTTTTCGTAACCTGGTGATCTTAGTGGGCGCCTTCTTCAGGGAATTTACCGTTTTTTGAAAATATTTAAAAAAAAGATCAGGTTGGATTATTAATGATGGTGGTCCTCTTCTTTAGGAGATTTATTGATTTTTACAGTATTTGTGTGAAATGAAAAGTGGAAAAGACGCGGTGGACACCTTCTTCAGAAGATTTTATTACTTTCATTACTCATATCACTTAAAAAATGTTTGGTAAGATTTTCGTAACCTGGTGTTCTCAATGGGAACCATCTTCAGATAATTTACTAATTTTTATAAATATTTCGTGCAAACAAATATTACAATAAATTTTATGAACCGGGCGCAAATGGTAATCCTACCTTTAGGAGGTTTATTGTATTCTTAAAATATTTGGACGAAAAAAGCAGTGTAGTAGAGGTGGTGGACACCTTCTTCATACGATTTTAATATTTTTGTTAGTTGTAACACTATCCTTGAAAAGGATTTCATAACTTGATGTTCTTAATGGGCGCCTTCTTCAGGGAATTTACTGATTTTTGTGAAGATTTATGTAACCTTTTGTTCTTAGTTGACATCTTCTTCAAAAAATATTCTGTTATTGTAAATATTATGAGAAAGGAATTGCTTGAGGAGACGTGGTGGACATCGTCTTCAGAAGATTTTCTTATTTTCGTTACTTGTATAACTTCATGAATGTTTAGGAAGGTATTTTGTGACCTACCGTTTTTAGTGGACGTCTTCTTTAATCAGTTTTGAGACGGTTTTTCGAAAAATTAAAGTCGATATTGGCGTCGAAGAAAGTCTAACGAAAACTTTTTAGAATTGTTTTATGTGAGCCTGGTGAGTTAAAAGAAGCATTGGAGGGGACCCGGTGGACACCTTCTTCAGAGAATTTTGTAATTTTCGATAATTGCGTCATTTGGAGAATGTTTGGTTACCTGGTGTTTTTAGTGGACGACTTCTTCATTAAATTTACTGATTTTTGGGACGATTTTCATTACTTAGTGGTTTTAGTGAGCACCATCTTCAGAAAATTTACAGATTTTTAAAAATATTTTGTAGAAATAAATATCAGTATAGATTTTATAAACCTGGTGCTAATGGCGGATACCTTCTTCAGAGGCTTTTGTTATTTTTGTTACTTGAATCTCTTGAAGAATATTTGGGAATGGTTTTATAATCTGCTATTCTTAGTTGACGCATTGTTCAGGAAATTTATTGATTTTTGGAAAAAGGATGTGGTGGACATAGTCTTATTGAAGAATTTTTTTTTTTCGATGACTGCGTCATGTGATGAAGAATGTTTGGGAACATGTTCGTAACCTGGTGTTCTTAGTGGGCGCCTTCTTCAGGGAATTTACTGATTTTAGGACGAGTTTTGTTACTTGGTGGGCACCATCTTCAGATAATTTACTGATTTCTAAAAATATTTTGTTTATTAAATATCAGGATAGATTTTATGATCCTAGCGCTTCAGGAGGTTTATTAATTTTTAAAAATAAGTTGAGGGAAATAGAGAGTGAAGAAGATGTGGTGGATACCTTCTTCAGAGGTTTTGGTTATTTTTGTTAACTTCATATATCACTTGAAGATTTTTTGGCGTTTTCGTAACCTAGGGTCCTTAATGGGCGCCTTCTTCGGGGAGTTTACTGATTTTCTGGACGGTTTTTGTTAGTGTTCTTAGTGGGTACTGCCTACACAGAATTTACTGTTTTTTGAAAATATTTAGTAAAAAGGATCTTAAGAGGATTTTGATATATTCGTTACTTAAAGAACGTCTGGATAGGTTTTCGTAAATTTGTGTTTTTAATTGGCGCCTTCCTCAGGGAATTTATAGTTTTTTGAACGGTTTTAATTAGTGTTCTTACTGGGCACTATCTTCAGACAATTTATTGGGTTTTGAAAATATTTCATGCATATACATACCAGGATAAATTTTATGAACCTGGTGCTAATGGTGGTTCTTTTCTTCAGGAGGTTTAATAATTTTTGAAAATAATTTGAACAATTTAATATTGGAGGGGACATGGTGGGTACCTTCTTCAGAGGATTTTTTATTTTCGTTACTTCTATCACTTAAAAAATGTTTGTGAAGATTTTCTAAATTTGCTGATCTTAGTAAACACTTTCTTCAGGAAATTTACTTATCTTTGGGACGGTTCTCATTAATTAGTTATCTTAGTGGGTATCATCTTCAGAAAATACACTAATTTTTGAAAATAGTTTGGAAACAGAGACAGTGAAGGAGACGTGGTGGGCACCTTCTTCAAAGGATTTTGTTATTTTTGTTAATTGTATTACTTAAAGAATATTTGGGATGGTTTTCATGACCTGGTGTTTTTGGTATACGCCTTCTTCAGAGCATATCTCTTGCAAATAAATATCAGGATTGATTTGATGAACTTGGGGCTAGTGGTGGTCCTTCTCTTCAGAAAAATCATTAATTTTTTAAATATTTTTGAGATAGTGACAGTGAAGAAGAGACGGTGAACACTTTTTTAGATGATTTTGTTATTTTCATTACTTGTATCACTTGAAGAATGTAAGTTTTCGTAACCCGGTGTTCTTAGTGGGCGACTTTTTCAGGGAATTTTTTGGACGGTTTTCGTTACTTCGTGTTCTTAGTGGATACTATCTACATAGAATTCATTGATTTTTAAAAATATTTTGTTCAAGTATCAGTAGTGATTTTATGAACTTGGTGATAATGATGAATGGTGGTCCTCTTCTTCATGAGGTTTATTAATTTTTGAAAATATTTTTACGTGATGGACATCTACATCAGAAGATTTTGTTATTTTCATTACTTGAATCCCTTAAAAAATATTTGAGAAGGTTTTCGTAACTTAATGTTAATAATTATTATTAATTTTTGTTTTTAGAATTCTCTTCTGTAATATTTCAAGTTTGGCTGTGTGATTTTTGGTTGTAGCACCCCAACAGACGATTGCGTATTGTACACGACTTTGGACTAAAGCATAATAAATAGTTCTTAGGTGAGTAACTTGTAAAATATTTTTGAGGTATTTAAATTTAAATAAAAGAAGTCTTAAGGTATTTGTTAAGTTATTTATATGTGCTTCCCAACGTAAATGACAATCTAGGGTAAATCCTAAATATTTTATTTCATTTTTTTTAATGTTATTTTCTTTTTATTATAAATTAAGTTAATGTCACTAAATTGAGGTAGATTATTCGAGTAATTGACAAATGGTAAAAAGAAAGATTTGTTGTAGTTTTTGCTTAATTTTTTATAGGAACACCAGTCTATTATTTTTTTTAAATCTCTTTCAGTTTTCCGTTTTAGATCATCTCAAGTTTCTGCTTCATAAAAAATCGCAGTGTCATCTGCAAAACTTATTATTTCTCCTGTGGTCTGTAAATTATATAAATTGTTTACATATAATGTAAATAAAGTGGGACCTAATATAGTTCCTTGAAGAACACCGCTTTCTATTGACCTCTCGTCACTGATTTCATTATTGATTTTAACTCTTTTAAATCTATTGTTCAGATAGCTATTAAAAAGGTCAAAAGTTTTCCCACGTATCCCTATATCTTCCAATGTCTCTAACAACTGTCTATGCTCTACAGTGTCGAAGGCCTTGGCAATATCCAGAAACACTGCTAGACATGGGTGCATTCTTTAAGGAAATCACTGATTTTTGTAAAGATTTATGTAACCTGTTGTTCTTAGTTGGCACCTTCTTCAACAATTTTAAATATTTTTAAAAAGCAAGTGCTTGAAGAGACGTTCTGGACATCATCTTCGGATGGTTTTTTGAAAAATAAAAGTGGGTAACGACGTTGAAGAAAGTCTGACAAGAACTTTTCAGAACGGTTTAATATGAGCCCGGTGGGTTAAAAGTAGTAACGGAGGGGACCTGGTTGTTATTTTCGTTACTTTTTACACTTGAAGAATGTTTGGGAAGGTTTTAGTAGATTTTTTTCTTATATTTATATAGTACCGATAACAAAAAGATATATATGTTCATAGGACTCTAATTTATTTGGTGGTTTCCCAGATTTGGATATCATAATTTCAGCGACATCCAAAATAATCTACTGTCTAGTTTTGAGAATGCTTTTGTTATACCCTTTAGGTTTAATTGATTGTGACATTTTTTTATGAGTTGACAAGTAAATAAAAGAAAAATTTAACTTAATATAAAAGCTTCTTTATTTTCTTCTCTCAACCAATATTACTCATGCAAAACTAACAGCTTTGTTTGTCAATACTGTCTTCGATTTCCTTATGTACCTCTTTAGGTGTAACCCTTGGGATTTCCTCTACTTTTCAACTCTTTCATCTAGAAAGAAAATCAACCAAAATGCATAATAAGAAATCTACTTCGATAATAACGGTAATAGCGTGTCAACGTTATTGCAAGAAAACCACCGGTTTTACCTATTTATTTTTTTATTCGCATAACTAAACAAGTTTCCTAGATATTATTCAAATTAAGTAATACCTACTTAATAATAACAACAGCATTTAATTGCAACTAACAATCTATTTTTCGTAGATACAGTTATTCAATGGTTATATAACGGAAAAATGGTTCGCGAAGTTCCTATTGTAATAATAAGACCGATATAAATTAATAGAATAAATTTGAAATTTGCCGTAAAAATCGATACTGCCGGCTAACGCAATATTTTTTTTATGTTTTATATAATTTTACGTTGCATCATTTTCTATTCAGGACAATGGAGTGCATCCATTCAATAAACTGTCGCTAATTGTAAAGCACGATTCATTTTTTTTATTAAATAAATACCGTTATTGAAATCTTAATATACAGATATTAAATAATAACTATAATCGCTTACCTATAACTTTTAGAAGAAAATATAAGTACTAAAACAATAAAAAAATTATATAATATAAAAAAA